GGACGAGGTGTCGGAGCACATTAAACGATTGGCCAAGCATGGCCAAATGCCGAAAGCGGTCGACGAAGCCATTGTCGCTTATTTACTAGCCATCGCTACTTATCTTACAACTCTCCAAGCCCTGGATATGCGTATTACGACCCGGCCATACACGTTTAGTCGGTTTATAATATTATGCTCTAAGAATCTAGTATATATTATAGCCATATAGGTACCTACTGTATAGAGATATCTATTTGATAGTAATTCGCTGTAATTATTGCTATTTATTGTATTTCTATTTTACAAACGTAATCGAACTGTATGAATAAACTTAATATAATATAACATAATATATAATTACATCAAAATAACTTACTTATAATTGAACAATAAAATATCAAATTTTTTCACTATTATAGTTGTAGACTGTATTCTATATGCGTATGCGTGTATAATAATATTATAAACGTCGCAGAGGTCCATAAAGTTAGCGGGAGACTAAAAAGCACTAATTACCGCTAAAGTTAAAGTTAGGTTGGACAGTACATATTTTACAAGTGATTATTCGAGTAATATTATAATGCTGTGGTATATGTAAATTATTTTTATTATTTCATTGACATAAATAGGTACATATAGATACCTATATTTTTTCATCTCATCATGTGTTATTAAAGTCGATCATAAACATTTATTCCAATAAATTATGATAATATAATAACTCGAACAACCTAATCATCTATATAATACACTAAATTAACGTGATGAGGTAATTTTATTGCACGACACGATTGCAATTTAATTCATTTTTTTCAATACGTCATTTTTTTTTTATTTGTATTGGAACTAATGATAGAAAATATAATAACAGGAAGATGTCCATTGTGGCGTACTAAAAACGACATTAATCATTATTATTCAAATTCGACAATTTAATTTTGAAATTATTAATTAATAGGTAAATAATATATATATATAATTAGGAACTTAAAAAGTTAGGAAATAAAAATGCTTTAACTAACTGATTTACTTAAATGATTAATTGGTTAGTATAGACAATAAGTTATTAAAAATATTTAGATTAATTATAAGTTATTTATACCACAAACCTATTTACACCGTTCTATATAGTGCGTCGATATTGACTTACAAGTTAATTACAGCTACCTAATAGTATTTTAATAATAAATTATTGATAAGTTACTAAATAGTAACTAATAAAAACTACTAAATTACTATATATTAATATTTGATGTGATTTATTTTTGGCAAAAATTAGTTCAACTTACCGCACTACTAATTGAAAACTAAATTACTTAAAGCTATATAAATACATATATATGATAAAATATCCTTAGCAATATAGGGACCATCTATGGTCGGCATCGTTTTTTGTGATTTATAATTAAATTCGTATTTTATACATGCACTATACTAAGTATCCTTCTCAATGATGAAAGTATGTGTTGGTGGTTGATTATAATATAACGGAGGGGTAGAATTCTAAGTTTAAATAGTACAAAGTTATAATAGGTATAAACTATTAATATAATACTATTATATTATACAGACTACAGAGGCACTTATACGATTATTCGATAAAGAATTTCACTACTATAATAGAAGCTTATAATATTTTCAATTTTTCACTGTAAATACAACTCAATCTATTGAATCGTAAAAACAGAAACTATCGGCATCCCCGAAGAAACTCTATCGATGATTAAACTATATATTATATATAAATATCTATTTTCCCCGAAATTCGGACACCCTCGTGCACTGCAGCTGAGTATAATAATAATTGCAAGTCTTCCCGTATCGTTCTTAGGTCCTACGACGGTCTAGAGATTGCGTCGTCCTCGTGGCCGCCTCCACCGTCTTCTCTCCACGGGGTGTATAAACGCGGTTTACACGCCACATGTTGTACGACAAGCGTAAATTCTGATTTCGGGGAAAAAAAAAGTCGTTATACGCGCGCGAAGAGCTTTTGTGCGCCCTCGCACCGCGCTTTATTTGCACTTCCGATTTCCGGCCAGAGCGTTTTATTGTTTGGGGCTGCAGAGAGGATTTACTACGAACGCGACCCCAACGCGCCAGACACAAGCGCCCCGTGATTAGCGATAGGGCGGTTTCGTCTTATATCGTGCGATGTTATACAGGGTGATCTGCAGAATTCCGTACGATCGGTAAGGACATTTTTCAGTTTCGCGTATACCGTTTTAACGAGAAAATATGTCTGTGACATGAAGAAACGTGAGAGCCCCCTTGATATTGATACTATAGTCCAGTGGCGTCGGTGATTTGGGGCGAAGTGCTGTACAAGAAGTTGAATGAGAAAATTAGAGAAAAATGATTTCGCCCCCTCCCCTACCAAAAAAAAAGTAGAATATACAGTTTTATGAATAAAAAAACGAAAATGTTAATTAAATTATAGTCAATATTAATAAAATTATTGATCTCGTATTGTGAATAAAAATATCTAATATGTTAGTTTAGTATGTTAATTGTTTTGTATGTTGTTACTGTACTAAATATTGATTGTTATGAAATTAGTATCGCTTTCTGAACTATTCTTCCAAAGGGTTCTTACCTGTTTATTAATAATAAATATAAAAATAAATAAATATTATAACTTTAAATAAATAAAGTTATTTGAATATTTCATAAAAACAGCCGAAATCACTTATACCTAATTGTGTGTCGTGATATTTAATATTATGAGTGTATAACAATTAACTAGTAAACTATAATAGACTGTCTAATTTGTGCCAAATATTAATATACTAAAATATACTATTGTGTTATTAAATAAGTTAAAACCAAAAAAATCTTTTACAACCCATTACTATAGGTACGTCTTATAATTACTTAACGATTAGTTTTTGTCAACAGTACTTTTAATTACAGGTTTGGTGTGTAAGTATGTAACCTTAGTATCAACTACATAAATACATAATGATGCATAGGTGATATCATGGTTAAATATACAAGGTTATTGCACATAGCCCATATTGTTATCAAACAAAAATAAAATAGCAGCGTAAGGGTACGGTCCATATCATAGTATAGCCTTACGCTGCTATTTTAATTCCTTAACATAATAAAATTATATAGTGGGGGTACTATTGCAACAACCTTGTATATTCAAGCCATGGGTGGTGTTATACTCTGTATCTACAGAAGTTTAATGAAATTGTGATTTTAAGTTATGTCTGTATCCACGGACGTACTGAAGTTAGGGCTTGAAATGGACCTCAAGATGAGACCCGTAGGTACACCCTCTATATTGTTTGCTCCAACCAGTGCGGTGTTTATAGACATTTTGCGCCCCCTAGGCCTGGTGAAAAAAATTTATTTCCCTATAAGGGGCCCTACCTACGAAAAATATGGATAGATCCTCATTAACCTTTTAGATTTTGAGAACAGAAAAGAATATTTGTTTTACAAAGTGTGCTTTTTTTAAAAATATTGTTTAGTAATTGCTTGATCCTCTCTCCGCAAAGATACATTTGAATTTATGTTACTTAAACCTTCCTTATAATTTATCATATAATTCTTTTTTTTTTTAACATATTTAAGTAGGTACATCATGAATAAATAAAATAAAATAAAATAAAACTATGCAAATTAATATTAATTAAAAAAAAATTCAAACAGCATAATATTTTATATTATATATAATAATATTATACTAAATTAGATTATATAATACTGTTATAAAATAATTTTAAATAATTAGAATTTAATAATTCACAAGAAAACAAATTTCTGACCACAATATTTTGGAGCCCCTAAAATTCTGAAGCCCGGGGCAGTTGTACCCTAAATGAGGCCCCCCTAAATGAGACCCTGACCACAACTAGATTTACTCTCCTACCAGAAAATAAGCTGTTGAAGAAAATTAAAGCATTTTTAGTGTCTTAAAAGGCGATGACAGACAAATAAAAACATAAAATACACATCATTGTAAAATCAATACATTGAACATTCATGATTCATCGCTCCACTCTGAATCTAAAAGTGACTATTCATCTATACAGTATCATGTATAATATATTATTATGATTCCAAATCGGTTTCACATAAGTCATTTTTCCTAATTTAAATATGCCATAGTGTTATAGTGAATTAATCTACTATCACATAGGTACAATTTGGAATTTTTGAAGAACCAATTATTTATTTATGTTAAAATCACAAAAACTAATTAGTTCGTAGTTAAAATCATATTCACAATGGCACAAATAGGTGGGGCTTGGTCAACCCAAATTTCGGTCAAGTACCCCCAGATCAAAATCTAGTAATTAGACCTAATTTTTATATTCTGTGGTACTAAGCAATATGGCCTATGGGGAGGGGGTCTTGAGCCCCCCCCCCCCAAAAAAAAAAAAATTTAGTCAATTTTCGTACCTATATGCAAATTCATATTGCTACTAACAGTGAAAAATAAAAATATATATATTTTAATATTTCAACGGACTACAAATTAAATGAGTGTATATTGTACTAATGTGGAGGTTGATGTACATGGTACATGCCCACATGTATATAATAATTATACTACATTTGTACTATATGCTGGGCCCAGATATACGCGGGTATATAGACCTATAATAAATTATACATCTTATGGTATCATTCACAAGTCTTGTCAAGTGAGCTATAAGGAACGGATTACTTTTGACTTGTACACATAGAGTCTGATACTCTGATTCATTGTTATTAGATACTACACTTTATTAAACTGTAAAAATAAAAACTTATCTTTCGATTCGTTGTCGCACACATTATAACATAAGCGTGTATAAATGTCCCATCACAAGCCACACATAAAAAGTCGTTAAAAAGCTAAATTTCTCGAAAGTTGAATTCGTTTTTAATATTGTATATTTTGGTTGGTCTATAAATAAACAAAGTGTACAAGTCGGTTAAAGACTTGTCCAACGGAAAAACATAGTTGGACACGAAAAGTTCGTCGACTGGATAACGTGCAACTCAAACGAAGCGGTAACCGCTCAAACGCCGCAACAAAACATGCGACGGACGATTCGCTTCGTCCGTCTCCAAATTGTGGTGCGTTTTTTATATTTGGCCGCGGGGTCGTCCACGGTTGCCACCACCCCGCTTGCATCGCTGTCACCGTGACCGCTGTTTCCGGTATCCGGTTCCAGTTCTGCCTGGCTGGAACGCGCCGCGAGAACGGTCGGCAGTTCTGGCACGGTCTCGTCTCGTCTGGACCGGTCATCTGATGGCGGCGGAGCCTCGACAACGTTTCCCGGGATGAGCACAAGGGGATGGTCGACGGACACTGACGGGCCAGCGCATTGTAGTGGCAGTGGGATTTTCCGGAAGATAGGGGCAACCGGCTGCAGGTCGACCAGATCGAGGCCCATCGACTCGGCGTCAGACGGCTTACGACTGCTCTCTGCCTGCGGTGACTTTTCCGCCGTGGCGGTGTCGTCTGCTTGAGCATATTTTGGTCCTCGGCAAAGTACCGTGACGTTTGCAGGCCTGGACTGCAGGTGGCTAATCGCGGATGGTCCGGTCACGTTTGGCTCAGACTGGTATGCGCGGCTAATCGCGATTGGTCCGGTGACGTTTTCCAAGGATCTGTATCGGCAGCTAATCGAGGATGGTCCGTTGACGTACCGACTAAAGTGCAACAGCGTCCGTTCAGGAATGTGGAAACTTGCCGCCCGAAATTCGGCAAATACGCTTTGCATCACTTCCGTCTCGGTCGACTGCAAGTTGACGGATTGGTTTTCTGCGAAATCCATCATGATCATACCAGAATATAATATTATATAGCTATAAGTCAAACACGACAACTGGTATTATATTATAATATACAATACGCACAATGTATTAATTTGGTTAGCTGATAAATAAGAAATATTGAATTGACTGACAATAAAACATTATTATAGTGCTGCGTACTATTACAATCTATAGCAACAAGATTTTTGTTGATTTTTAATAGGCTTGAATAAAATATATTATAAGATACCTACTCTATTCCATATTATTAAATGCATGAATTTGAAATTTTTGGAAATGCAAAAAAATTAAAGTTATAATACTACGAAATTATATAATACGTTGTAGATAGGAATTATGAATATTCCTTATTCTAGCCCCAATAAAATTGGTCATTGCTAATTGTGTAAGGAATCCTAGCTTACCATGGATATTAAAGTATAATATATATGAGCTCAAAATAATTAAAAAATACTGATTTTTTTTTAAACGAAGAAACATTTTGATGGCCTATGCCTAATAATACTGTGTACCTTTGTACCCATGTAGTGATGTAGGTATACTAAATAATAGTAAACACTATTTTGACCTCATATCATTAACTTTGTCAGGTAACTAACTGTCAGTAGTTAATTTTTTTCCACTCTGTTCGTCAAATTCTTATTTTTAATTGTTGCTATAGTTATACACAAATACACAATTATACTACAATTGATGCCTGATGGTTTGATTAGTAAGTGACACAATAGGTGGGAATAGCTATTTTATGAGTCAGCGGCCATGTATACCATACACTTGATAAAAATAAGAAGGCTTTTAAGTAAATGTACCGTCACCAAATATGTGTGGATTATAATTGCACAAAAAGTTTGAATTAGATTTGCACGTTATCAATATAATGTTGTTTGCACGATCAACAAATTTAAATTGTTCGTTTTTATTTGTTAAGACTGGTAAATCGTAAATTTGTGCTATTGCCTCATTAAATGATTTAGGAATGGGAGGTAGCACTTTTCGTCGTTTACGGTATATAGATTTTCTAACACTGTAAATTGTTAGTATCAGCGAATTTGGATGTACTACATGAAGATAGATCCGTAAGTTTTTTTTTATTTGGCAGTAAATTTAAATCCTCGCATGCTTTCCTTTTGCACTTACCTCTAACTTCCAGCAAGTTTCAATTTTCAATAGTATTCGGTTCATGGCTGTCTTTAATATCGATTAGTGTTGATTTTTTACATACGCACTACAATTTTTTTTTAACGCAACTCCAACTTATATTTCCCGAAGCCAAATTTCTACTAAAGTGAAATTTAAAGTTACGAAAAATTAAACATTCACGCTTCACATTTCACTTTTTAGTAGTATTTATTATTTTAAAATCCATTTGTATACACTCGCAACTCAAGTATAATACTCTGGTTAAGGATCTGTAAGCACAACGCATGAACAGAGAAAAGTGAAAGTCATCATGAAGTACAATTAAGATAAAATGGATCGATATTCGATAATAATATAATATCGATAAGAGTGTAACGTAAAAATTAAAAAAAATTAAAACTGGCAAATAATATGTACAATAGTTACTAGTTAAGTACAAGGTACAAGTCGTGTTGTATTATATCCAGAATACAGTTTGGAAACGTTGCATGGTTTTAACGAATTTTTATTAAACATTTTTCGGGCGAAAATGGGTTATAAAAAAGGTGTGATGAGCACAAATAGGTTGCACCAAAGAAGCCTCCTAATTATTATAAATAACAATAATGAACCAATGAGTGATGTGATAATATAGTATTTAAGTATAAGTATAAAATATGTATAATACATTTTAAATATAATTAAAGGGTTCTATGTGTTTGTCAATAGATAGGTTATAGGTAACATCCCTCACCATTCATCAGTCAACATGTCATTGTGTTATTATTATTAGGCAGTGCCGCATTTAGACATTTTACGCCCATATGCAAAAAAAAATGGCTCCCCCTAAGCCCCGGTGAAAAAAATTCCCCCCCTTAAGGGGCCTACCCGCTTAAAATATGGGAAATAGATCCTCATTAACCTTTTAGATTTTGAGCCCAGAAAAGAATATTTGTTTTACAATGTGTGCTTTTTTTAAAAATATTGTTTAGTAATTGCTTAATTCTCTCTCCGGAAAGATACATTTGAATTTATGGCACTTAAACCTTATTCATCATATAAGTTGTTTTTTTTAACATATTTATGTAGGTACTTCATGAATAAATAAAATAAAATTATATAAATCTATACAAATTAATATTAATTAAAAAAATTTCAAACAGCATAATAATATATATATATAATAATTAATACTATTATACCAAATTATATTATTATGTAATACTGTTATTAAAATAATTAAAATTATAAAATTTTAATAATTCACAAGTAAACAAATTTCTGACCACAAAATGTTAGCGACCCTAAAATACTGACGCCCGGGACATGTTGTCGCCCTCCCCTAAATGCGGCCCTATCCCCAACCCCGAGTGTGTGAAAAATAGTTCCCGCTCCTATGACTAGTATTATATATTTTTAAAGTCACCGTTGAGTTTGAGAAAGTTTAGGTAAGTTCGACTTTTCTACCCTTTTTTATTTCACTTAATCATTTACGCCCGTCATTAGCGATTCCCCCGTTTCACTTCGTGAACAGACGTCGCAATTGATTTCCTCCACCGCAAACGTATAGTCCGGTCACGATGGCATCACTACACAATAATAATAATATTCAGTGTTCGCACACACGAACAAGGACGGTCGATACGACGTTTATAATATATGAGTGCATGTTTAGTCGTATTATAGTTATTATTATTATTATTATATTTTCGTCATACTTACTGCGACGTCTTGGACGGGAAAAGTTTAATAGATTATTCGTGTGCCGCATACGTACGTTGTCGAGACGGTTGTCGGGAGGGGAATGAAAAAAATAAACAAATAAAGAAAACAATTTTTTTTTCCTTCCCGTCGAGTGTCAAACGCAGGAAAAGGACATCGTCGTCACGACGGAAAGGACGAGGGACATCATTGTCGTCGACGTCTCGACTAGGACAATATATATCGTAAACCCATTCTATGGGCCTAGGTTATTTTCCCCTCCTCTAGCATATGTTATTGTACACTGCAGTACGATGATATATTATTGTATATAGGTAACGTTCTGGTCCCGAAACGAGTTTTCCTGATAGGTATTCGCCGAATTTTATCGTTCTGTCCAATGTCGTCGTCCGTGACTCGACAGGGTTGCTGCAGCTGTCCTTCCCCCCGCCCCTGCGCAATCGACCGAATATTATAATTTTATGATATCGTATTGCCTATACGTTGCGCCCGTCAATCGTCCGAGCCACATTGTTAATATTAAATTATTATAATATTTTGATCACCATAGTTTACGCTATTGTTCGATGTTCGATGTCTCATTGCATGTACAGGTATCTCTGCAGCTGCCACAGGTAACCCTGCACCGTTGAGGGGGTAAAATTTAATTACAACTCTCAGCGCAGAGTTTTATTTAATTATATACGGCTCAACATTTTTTTTTCCGAGTGTTGAATGGGAGGGCCGTGTTTGCGCCTAAATACCGTATATGCGCCTATATGCAAAAACCTCGATTGCGCTTAATAAAATTAAAATACGTTAAATACTTATTTGCGCCTAGTTAGGTTACAAATAAATAAATTTGGCAACATTGCAGTAAAACTTAAATTTCTCGTCCCACTTTTTTCAGACTTCGAACTGACAGAATAAAATGTAATGAATTATTCTGATTTCTGGTGTGGTTAAAAATTTGTCTTTACTGTTCTGTTGTGTAGTTATTATTTTTTACTGTACCTATTATATTTTCAATAAATTTAAATTTAAATTTTTCTTCACTGTTCTGTTGCGTTCGTCGTTGTTATTTCTTATATAGGCACCTGCAGGCACCTATTATATTTTTAATAAAATAAAATTTAAATTTTTCGCGTTACTTTGACTTTGTTACTTATATTTTTTATGAAGATAATTGTTGATGTTGATGTATCTCTTAATTCGTTGATAACCTGGTGTTTTTTTATAACTGCTTTATTTTTTATTTGTTTTATTGTTGTTTTAGCAAGATTTATTTTTAAATATGTATCTGTTTGAAATTCTATTAGAACTTCCACAAATTTTATGATTGATGGATGAGCATTAAAAAAATATGAATTAAAATGTTTATGAAATGATTCACACGCGTTTGTTGTCTGTGTTAGATTATTACAACCTTTTGCCCATAATTCAGGGGGAAATAGACTCTTCGCTTACGAAATTTTCAACTAAATAATCAGCAAATGATTGTATTTTTTTTTTCTGCTGGAATTTCAGACATTAGTTCCAAAAAGCAATCTGATACTTCTTGTGGATGTAAAAAAGGAAGACCGAAACAATATTGTAACCATTTTCCTTCTGGACTATTAGATTTATACATATTAGTTAATCCAAGACTTTGAAGCTTTGAAACCAAACTGAAATGTGTTATTAAGTGAAGTACAGCGACGACTGACTATCTGCGATCGAGATTTTAGAAATACCGACGTAAAATGCCGTATATCGACAATGTAGATAAGAAGTTAGATATGATTAAAGATAAGTATCCTATGAAGGTATACCTATCGAGTCAGGACTGATATAGAAATTCAATTTCCCAATATATCGCAGTGGTTCAAAAATGAAAATAGTTGGGAAAACGTTGTTGCCAAATTTATTGATTTGTAACGTTATGTGCGCAAACAAGTATTTTGACGTATTTTAAGCGCAATCGAGGTTTTTGCGTATAGGCGCAAATACGGCATTTAGGCGCAAACACAGTCCACCCTGTTGAATTACCCACGTAGTAGAACCCTAAATTAGGGTGTATTTCGTATATTTTAAAATCAAAATATGCCTAAAAATATTATACTCTGTACTGCACAAGCAGTCGGCAGACTTTCTCCCGAGGATTTATTTTTCAAACCACCCCGTCCCTTAAGCCTACGATGCC